GGTGCTTAGTACGTTTGCGGGTGCTCAGTACGTTTGCGGGTGCTTATCACGTTTGCGGGTGCTTAGTACGTTTGCGGGTGCTTAGTACGTTTGCGGGTGCTTAGTACGTTTGTGGGTGCTTAGTACGTCTGCGGGTGCTTAACATGTCTGCAGGTGCATGCTATGGTCATGGCAGGTGCAAAGGTCCTATGCAGATAGCACAAGCTTCTTCTCAATTGCCACTAGATTCATCCATAGACTTCTCATCCGGTATATGGAGATGGGGTGTGTACGAGGTTGTGGGTGCTGTGTACGAGGTTGCGGGTGCGTACAAGATGGCGGGAGATAGGGTATGTACGGGATAGGGTGTGTACGAGATAGGGTGTTTACGAGATAGGGTGTTTACGAGATAGGGTGTGTACGAGATAGGGTGTATGGTGATACATGTGTGTACACAAGATATGGTGCGTACGAGATTGTGGGTGCGTACGAGTAGGTGCTATCCATGATTCTTCATGATTGCCACTTCCCATCTCTTCTGCCACATGCCACAGGATTCATCCGTAGACTTCTGTTGGTTGGTGAGACGAGAGAGGATGCATAAAAGAGAGAGAGATCTGTGGGTTTGATCTCACGGCGGAGTTTCTCGGGATTCTACATACGACTCGTGGTGGCGGTACGATCAACACTCCCTCTGCCGTCATCACTGAGTCTCTGATCACTACCTAAGACGGCTTCCCCACTGTCCTAAGCTTTAAACTCCCTTTACTACCTCTTGTTCGCTCTCTTTTATCCTCTATCCTTAGATCTTCCATATTCTTCAAATGACGTTTACCCGGTAAAGCTTTAGTGAGAATATCTGCTTGTTGATCATTTGTTGGGACGTATACAAGTTGAATTTGACCGTTTGACACTTGTTCTCGAATGAAATGGTGACGATACTCGATGGGTTTTGTCCGAGTATGAACACCTGGATTATTAGCCAGCGCTAAAGCTCCCTTGTTGTCACAATTCAATGTCACTATTCCCTTCAAATTGACCAATTCCTTCACAAGCCCAGATAACCATCTCGCTTCCTTCGCTGCTTCTGCCATCGCCACATACTCTGCTTCTAATGTTGAAGTCGTGACTGAACCTTGTCGCTTTGACATCCAACTAATCACTGAATCACAGAGCTTGAAGATATATCCTGTGGTAGATCGCCTTGTCACTTTACATCCCGCAAAGTCTGCGTCCACCCAACCTTCTAAACCTTTCCCCACTTCTCCACCAAGAACCAAGCCGTACTCTCGTGTCTTGTTGAGATAAGCAACTATTCGTAAAGCAAGTTGCCAATGAGTTTCCAGGGGAGCAGCACTAAACCGTGCTAGAAAGTTTGTCGCAAAGCTGATGTCTGGCCGAGTACATGCCGATGTCCACATCAAGCTTCCAATGGCGGCTTGGAAAGGGGAAAGAGGGGCGAGTTCATCAGTTTCACTGATTGCTGGTTCATCGTGATGCTGAGAGGGGAGAGGAGCTGTCATTGGACGATGCTGTGAATGACCAGGAAATCGGGAAGCAACTTTGTCGATGTATGCTGGTTGGGAAAGGTGGATTCTTTGTTTTGACCTATCTCGAGTAACCTTGAGACCAAGAATTTGCTTCATTTCCCCCATCTCCGTCATAACCCATTTCCTTTTCAGCTTCTCCATGACTCCATCAATCTCCTCATTGGTCTTTGCAGTTATGACCAGGTCATCAACATACGCCAGGAGTTACCAGTCCACCATATTTTCCTGCTGGTCGGACGTACATTCCCCAATCTCCCTCAGTCCTTCTGAAACCCTGCTCCTCTAACGCTTTCCCAAGTTCCAACCACCATACCCTGGCTGATTGTTTCAACCCATACAACGACTTCTTCAACCGCAGTACTGTCCCACTGCGCTGTCGTACCATGGCTTCAGGATGTTCCATGTAGATATTCTCATCAAGAACACCATTGAGATAAGCTCCCTCAACATCGGCTTGTCGTAGTTCCAAATCAAAAGTAGCCGCAATAGTGAGAAGTAGTCAAAGACTTGTCATTCTACTCACTGGTGCATACGTTTGTTCATAATCAATTCCAGGTTGTTGAGAGAACCCTTTTGCTACGACTCTTGCCTTGTGTTGGACGATTTGACCATCAGCGTCTCTCTTGATGTTGAATACCCATCTTGACGCTATAGCCTTTCGACCTGATGGAAGATACGCTTCTTCCCATGTTCCCTTTGACTCAATATTGTCAAGTTCCCGGAGCATAGCTTTCTTCCACTCGTCTTTATCCTTGCTAGTCAAAGCTTCCCTAGCAGTCTGAGGTCCATCAGACGGTGACGAATTTGCTTCTTCCATACCCATCTCTGACGCCATAGCAGATGCTCTTGTTGTATTGCTATACCATTTCTCCACAAGGTTTGCTTGATATGGTACTTCACCAGCAATACGAGCACTACGTCGAGTAGGAAGTACAGGTGGAGGAGGTGGTGGTGGTGCAGGAGTAATTGTAGGAGCAGGAGGATCAGGTGTTGGAAGAGGATCTGCCGTGAGAATTGTTGGTTCTTGAGTAACTTGAACATCATTCCTTGTCTCCCTCTGTCCTTCCACACCGTTGTCATACCTCTGCTCTGTCGCTCCACTGTTCTCCCTCACACTCACTGATTCTGGTTCTTCTTCCAGAGGTTCAGTCACGACCTGAGCTGGTCGTACAGGAGGTATCATTCCTGAGGAAGGAAGTGTTGCCGGTAAAGTCATAATAGGATGTGGAGGAGGATTGGATACTGAGGCCGTGGGAGGAGTAATGGGTGTGATTGTCTTCTCTGGAGTTAAGGGGTGACCTGAAGCACTCTTAACGTCCCTGCTGAAAAGCATCTTTCCATCACTCTCCATTCTCACATACCATCCACTCTTTGCTGGATCCATTCCTACGACTCTTCCCAATTCTCCCTTGTCAATATCTAACCTTGACTTTCCTCGTACCTCTCCAGGGATCTGAACAAATACCAGTTCCCCAAACATCAAAGCGTTCTTCAGATTTGGGTCTCTACCCGTATACTTCATCCACGCATTGATACCGTCTTCACCTCTGGTTGTCTTCATGAAAAGATAACTGTCACGGCCGTCGAACAACTATTTCTTAATAGACCGACGGTCGACGAACCTCGGCTAACTTCACGCTCTGAGTCGATGTCTCACCCAACCAGGAGGGCGCAGACGTCGAAAGGGGTGTAACTACGGCGTACGTCGGCGTAGTTACTCTAACTAGGGTTTTGTTCTACTGATGGCGATGTATCTTGATTTATAGCTATCTCTATCTGTCTTTCACTACTGACAACAATCAAGGATCGCTGAAGAACTTCAGCGATCTTCTCAGCTAATATTATCTACTCCTCCTAGACGTTCATCCAACCCTCTCGCGCTTTGACGTACTTCAACGCACTTCGTCCAACTTCCCCGAGCCCTCGGCCATCCTCTTCCTCCTTCGACTAACTCCGCCTAACATCGCCGCACTTCTGCTCCCATTGTCCCTACTTAGCCTAACTCCGTCTAACTTCGCCGTACTTCTGCTCCCATTGTCCCTACTTAGACTAACTCCGTCTAACTTCGCCGTACTTCTGCTCCCATTGTTCCTACTTAGCCTAACTCCGTCTAACTTCGCCGTACTTGGTGTCAGAAGTCCTGAGTTACGTGTAGAGTAAAGAGGTTAAGGCGTGATGGGGTTTTTGTCACGGGCGGGGTCTTATCCCCAAAGGGTAAGCAAGGTGACTGAGATGGGGCTGTAACCCAATACTTGTCTCGGGCTCGTAGAGCTTGAGGAGTATACAGAGGTTGACAAGGGACTGAGGGAACTGAGGGAACTGAGGGAACTGCAAGATGTCAGGCTGGATCTGACTGGACTGACAAGTTGAGAATGAGATTCAACAAGAGATTCATAGGTGGGGAACAACCTGTTTGGAGGGGGTTTATATCCACAGCAAAACAGGCTGAACTGCAAAACTACAACAATAAGCTACGGAAGAACTGCTAAACATATTTGCAATTCTCTTCAAGAGAATTGGCAATCCTGACATGTGAAACTAAGAACAATAGGCAAAGGACCCAGGGGTCCAGGGGTAACTGTTACAGGTTCATGTGTGCGACAAGGAACAATAGACAGAGGACACAGGAGTCCAGGGGTAAGTGTGTCAAGCATGTGAACACACAGGGGAACAATAGATTAAGGGCACAGGGGTTCAGGGGTAGGTGTTTCATGTGTGGGAGTGTAAGAGATAACAATAGGGATTGTTGATGGAGATCAAGAACAATAAACCTAAGCCAAAGGGGGTCAGGGGAAGTGTTCCAGATGTGTTTCAAGTGTGGGAACACGGGAAAAGACTATCTTAGGTGGCAAGTAGGTGATGTATGACAGTTTTGATGCCAAAGGAGGGTCATTGTTGGTGGAGTAATCGAGGTGTCGCGACGTAGTTCGTGACAGTCGCCCCCTTCTTTAGCCGCGAACGTCCTCGTGAGCGATTACACCTCTGTCGTGTCAAGAGAACTTAGCAGCGTAGTACCCCCATTCTCTCCCTCCCCATGACCATCCTTCACCCTTCTGCTCTTTGCGCCGCACTTCGTAGTTGGGCCTCCTTTCACTCCAAAACCCGACAATGAGACTCCCCTAACTTCGTCGAGGTTTGCCGTAAGAAGCCCTGTGTCTTTTGTAGGTGAGACACGCTTCCTGAATGGCAGCCGAACAACACCGTTGTTTGTCGAAGTAACCCTCGCTTATATTGAGATGAGACACTATAGCGTGGGAATTTTGATCGTCCCTGCGATGCCTTTTGTTGATGAAACGCGAAGTTTGCTGCATGTTGACGACGAGGGTTTAGGTTTGATTATACTAAATACTGAGCAGTTCGTCGAGCTTCTCTCTTTTTCCCATCTGCTTTCAAAACTTTCTATCTCTCTTACCTAGAAAACAGATTTGTTACCTTGAATCATCTTTTATTTCTTTAAGTATTTTTAACGTCATGGCCCCTCCTACTCCCACCTCTAACCCTTTCGCCGCCATGAGGAACTTTGGTGGTATGGTGTCGTCTGCTCGTGAGTTATTCCTCGACACTTACCTTACTTCGCCGGACTTGGCTGATGTTCAGTTTCCTTCGGCGACAGATCTCGCCAAGTCTCCTCCCTCGGCCTCGGCACCCTCTCTTTGGGGGAGCCGTCTGGCGATGTCCCGCCTCCTCGCTCCGCTTCTCCTCCCGCCGGTCCTCCCGCTGGTTCTCCCTCTGCTTCTCCTCCTCCTGGTTCTCGCTCTGCTTCCCCTCCTGCCGCCAGCCCTCGCCGCAGGACGCCCGCCTTTCGTCCTGGTGAGTCTCCGTCCTCCTCCGACCAGGAGTCGCCCAGTGGTTCGGAGTCGGACGATCAGTCAGACTTCGAAGGAAAAGGGGGTGATTATAGTGATGAGGATGATAGAATCGTGTCGGAGGGTGAAACCGAGTTAGAGGAACACTCGGATGATGATATGGTGGCGGTTAGTGTAGAGGACAACAACGTAGATAGTCCTGAGCGTGAGTTCTTCGTCCAACCTCTCACACCTTCGCCGAACTTGGCCTTGTTTATCTGTTCTTTAGCTCTTCAAGACATTGCTAACTCGCAGCCGCTCCTGCCCCTCCCCCTGCTCAAATTGCGTCGTTCCCTCTCCTCTTCTTCTTCTTCCTCTTCTTCTTCTTCCTCTTCTTCTTCCTCTTCCGGGGTTCTCCCCCCCCCCAACGCCATCGCCGCTGCCGCCGCCGCTGCCGCCGCCCGCCCTGCCGCCGCCATCGCTCCTGCTGCCGCCGCCCCCGTCGCTGCTCCCCCCCCTTCTCCCAGAGGGGAGCCTTCGCCCAAACGGGTGAAGAGATCACTGCGGGAAGAAGAGTACTTGTGGGAGAAGATGAAGTCCGAGCCTGGTCGTTGGATCGCGGTTGGTGTTGACGAAGCGTGTGATCGTTGCCGGTGAGTCCACCTATTCGTACTACGCCGAAGTTACTCCTGCTAATTAGTAGACGTGAGATTATCACGTATAATCGTCCAAACTGGCCCTGCCTCAAGGCAGTCAGGCCACACAACAAGGCCCTCCGTTGTGCTTCATGCACGTCTGGCCCCTGCTCCTTCTGTCCCGTTTCCTCTGCCCGGGACATCCCGCCCCGTCCCTTCGACGCTTCTCCTCTCCCCCCTCCCCAGACTCCAGCGTCTGTCCCCCGTTCGCGGGTACCGCCTTCGTCTCTCCGGTCGGTTCGCCGTACTTCGCCGGACCTCCGCCCGTCGCCTCCGTCGCCGTCGCCCTTCGCTCCTGTGGCCGGCCCATCACGTCTCCCGGCTGTTCCTCCTTCGTCTTCTCGCCGTCCTTCGGCCTCTGCTCCTTCGGCCTCCCGTCCTTCGGCCTCTCGTCCTTCGGCCTCTCGTCCTTCGGCGCCACGTCCGTCCTCTCCAGTGGTAGCTTCTCCTCCTGCTCACAGCACCCGAAGTCGGCGTCCTTCTGTTCCTCCGGCCACTTCGGCGGCCCCTCCCGTCACCCCTCCCTCTGCTTCCCAGAAGACACCGAAGTCTTCTTTAAAGAAATCAAAAGGGAAATCTAAAGAGAAGGAGGTTGCCTTCAATGATGGTGATGTGGAAGGTGAAGATGCTCAGCGTGCTGGTCCCTCTGCTCCCCGGTTGTCCCTCGTCCACCCTCGTATCTCCCTGGACGTCCGTATTCCTGAGGACGAAAAGGAATTCGCCACTTATCGTTCTCTCGTCCTCGGTCTCACTACTCAGCTCGAGGCCGCCCGAAATGATACATCTCTCCTGCTTGACTTCTCTTCTCGTCAAGCTAACGCTTTAAACAATCTCACTGCGGCGTTAGTAGATGTAGTCAACACTGAGGCTCTGGACGACGAAGCAAGGACAAGGTTAGCGGACGTCTCTCGCCGAAGCCTTACTGAGATAGCCGATGTTCGCCGAAGACTGTTCGACACCCCCTTCCTAGTCACTCCTATGGCGTATGAGCCACCACCGTCCCTTGACTGGTTAGGTCGCCGTAGTAGTTCTCGTGTCCCAGCTTCCGCCCAGACTGCTCTCGACCTCCTCAGTCTTCCCTTCGAGTGTCTACGGACCATACGTTCTCTGTGGAGGACTCCGAGCATGCAAGCTGCTCGAGATGTCCAGGACTTCGGTGACTTCTTTGGGGCTATGAATCGGGCATGGAATGCTTCTCTCTCTACTGCGTTCCCGTCTGAGACTCTCGATCTACCTTCGGTCATCGGTAGCCTCCATACCAATCCCGCGGGACCGAGTAGATCGAAGGAGAAAGGAAAAGGAAAAGGTAAGGGTAAGAGTAAGGACAAGTGAGCGGTACGTAGCTGTAATCCTATGTTGTATGCAGTACGTTCTATCTCCTAGCCCTTCGCAGGCGCCCTTCCTTCGGCTTAGTAGGGTGAAGTTCGTGGAACTTCGCCAATATGTCATCAGCTCCATCGACGTTCTCCACTGGTTCCCATGATACTGAATCGTCTGTTCCTTCGTAACCTAACCACTCCACCAAGTACTCTAACTTTCCTGACCTCTTATTTACTCTAGAGTCCACAATATCCTTTACCTCCCAAGACTCTCCCACATTGTCTACTTCTACTGGCCCAGGTGGCTCAGCTTGCTGACCAGGAAATATTGGAGGGTGATAAGGACGGAGCAAGGAGACATGGAATACATCATGGATACCTGCCATCGTTCCTGGTAATTCCAATTTACAAGCATGAGAACCTACCTGCCGTACTACCTTGTACGGCCCACTTTGCTTAACATCTAACTTCTTCATTGGTCTCTTCGTCTTAATATTCTCTAACGACAGCATCACTAGGTCTCCTTCCGCGAAGTTCGGCGTAGTCCGGTGTTTCCTATTGTATCCTTCGGCGTACTTCTCATTAGCTTTCTCAATTCCTTCGATACAATCTTTGTGTATTTCAGTCAAGTCTTTTACCACCACCGTAGCAGCGGGCACTTCGACCTCGCTAGCCTTTATCTCTTCAGCCCAACGAGGGTGATATCCATAGTTCGCATAGAATGGGGTTTTGTTTATCGCAGAGTGCTGGGTGTTGTTGTAAGCAAAGCTAGCTCGAGCGAGTAGCTTTGACCAGTCGTTCTGCTGATAGGAGGTGAAGATTCGAAGATACAGTTCCAAAGACTGGTTGGTTCGTTCGGTCTGTCCGTCAGTCTGTGGATGATATGCAGTAGAGAGATGTAGTCTTATTCCGAGACTATCGGTCAAATTCTTCCAGAACTTGGAGGTAAACTTCGATCCCCTGTCCGATACTATATTCTCTGGCAACCCATGCTGGGCCACCACATAGTCCAAAATCAACTCTGATAGGCCGGCTGCGGTTAACTTCGTCGTAGTCGGGATAAAAATGGCCCATTTGGTCAACCGATCCACCACTACCAGGATGGAGTTATATCCATGGGAATTTGGCAGCTCCTCGATAAAATCCATCGAGATGCTAGACCAAGGTTTCGTAGCTACCTCCAGTGGTTTAAGCTCTCCATGGGGTTTCTGTCTGTTAGTCTTTGCCCTCTGACATACCGCGCATCCAGCGATGTAGTCCTCAACATCCTTCCTTACTCCAATCCAGACATAGTCCCTTAGAACTAGCTCAAGGGTCTTCGCTGAACCTGGGTGACCAGCTAAGGCCGAGTCATGTCGCATTTTCATGATCTTCAGCCGAGCATCGGCGTAGTTCGGCACATAAATGTGATCGTCGAATGTGAGGAAACCTCTTGAGTTCCACCCCCCACGAAGGATTAGAGGAGACCGCGAACTACGGCGTAGTTCGGTGATTGATCCTGGTTCCTGCACGTTATCGTTACACGTAGGATGAGAACACTCAGCGCAAACGACTCCTAATAATTCTTCTCTGACCCCTTCTATGTCTTCGTCCTCCTGAACTCCAAGTACTAGATCCATAGGGTCCACAAGATCATTTTCCTTTACCTCCCTTGTCCCTTGCAATGCTCGAAGGAGGTGACGCAACTCCGACGTGGTGGCGTCAACTTCGTCGAACTTCGGCAGACCTTGGATAAGGTTGCTCTCTTGTACCATGGTACTTCCTTTCCCGGAATGATAGTCCGCCCGTCTAGATAATCCATCTGGAAGACTTGCCTGGGTTCCTGGCCGATAAACCATTTTAAACCTGAAGTTAGCTAGCTCCTCTACCCACCTACCTTGCCGAGGACTGAGTTGTTTCGGCTCCATCCAGTAGGTAAGGTTTAGATGGTCGGTAAGTACTGTGGTTTCTACCTGCAATAATAAGTGTCTCCTTCTTCTGAAACCCTCCACTACAGCGAGGAACTCCTTTTCTCCTACCGTATAATTCAGCTGAGCTGTGTTGAAAGCACCAGACTCAATAGCTACCGGGTGTTCTTGACCAGCCGTGTTGATCTGCGAAATTATGAACCCCCAGCCGAAGAACGACGCATCTGTCTGTAATATCGTCTTCAATGTAGGGTCAAAATGGGCTAATACCGGCGCAGTACACATCCTAGCCTTCAACTCTTTGAAGGCTGACTCCTGTTCGACTCCCCATACAAATGGTACCTCCTTCCTTGTCAAGTCATTGATAGGTCTAGCAATCTTCGAGAAGTTGGGGACAAAGCGCCTGTAATAGCTTACAACTCCAATGAATCCCCTTGACTCTCGTAGATTCTTAGGACGTGGGAAGGAAGTGATGGCATCAATGTATTCTGGGTTCACCGATACACCTTTAGAGGATACCACGAAACCCAGAAACACCACCGAATCTCTTTCGAACTCGCACTTACTAGCTTTCACGTACAGGCTCGCCTTCCGCAGTACCTCAAAGACCTTCGCCGTACTTCCTCGTAATTCCTCCAACGTATTCCCATAAATGAGGATATCGTCAATGTAGACCACGACTCCATTCCCTAGTAGCTCTCTAAACACCTCATTTAGGAAGTGTTGGAAGACCGCGGGGGCGTTTCGCAGCCCATCACGAACAACCAGAGATTCAAACATACCATACTGTGTCCTGAACGCCGTCAGGTGTTCATGTCCCTCTGTCACCCTCAACAATTGGTATGCTCCAATTAGATCTAGTTTGCTGAAATACCTTGCTTTTCCAAGTTCCTCAGTAATTTGACCTATTAGAGGGAGAGGGTAGGCATCTGGTATGGTCGCTTCGTTCAGTTTTCGATAGTCGATGACCATTCGCCATTGTCCTTCGGCTTTCTTCGGTATCATAAACATTGGTGAGCCGTATGGCGAGTTACTTGCCCGAATTCGGCCAGCGGCGATTTCGCGATCTAGTATGTCTCTCAGCGCGCGTCTCTGATCTTCTCCTTGAGCATAGAGGGAGGCGACTTTAAGGTTCGCCCCCTCCTTAAGCTCAAACTTCAAATCGTAGGACCTTGAAGGGGGAAGGGTCTCTCCTCCCTTCTTCGGATTAAAAACGTCAATGTACTGGTGGTATTGTTCAGGAACTACCTGGAACAACTCGTCTTGTTCCTCCGGGCTCAGCTCTTCAAGCTCATCTTCGCCGCGGAGGTCTATCGCGTCCGTCAGAGTCGGCAGCCCTATGGCCGCTAACTTCGCCGCACTTGGTGGGGTTGGGATGGGAAATTTCACCGAGTTGTCTCTTCCATCAAGGACAACCCCTTCCTTCCTCATCCAATCCCACCCTATCACAACATCTGCGTCGCAGAGCGTTGTTACATCGAGACAAACAGATCGCACTTCGGCGTCCTTCGTCAAACTAAATCCGACTTCGACAAACTCGGTGATGGGTCCAGCGACACTCACCGAGCCGTCGAACATGTGAACGGGTACGCTCACCTGATATCGCCTCTTTTCTACACCTATCTTCGCTGCTGCCTTAGGGCTTATATATGAACAAGTAGCTCCAGTGTCCCAGAGCGTAGTTAGCTTTATTCCATTAATGAAAATGTCCGATTTAGGTTGATCTCTGGAAACGGAAGGGATGAGGAGATGATTATCGACATTGCATGAACAAGGGGTACTGAGTGGTGTATTTTTGTATTCACAATCCTCTGGCTCCATCAGCTGTGTTTCTTTTATGGGTTTGGGAATGGTGGCCGAGAGAATATGGCGGACCCGCCGAGCCTCGCCTACTGCGACAGGTCCTCTTCTTTTCCCTGGTCCTCTTCCAAATCTACTTCTCCTCCAACCGCATTCAAGTTCCTCCTCTGTCCGAGAGGTACTGCGTTCCCTCCCGATCCTCCACCACGTTCTCCGAACTTCTCCCCCCATGGAGGCAACAGTCCAACCTTAACCTTAGCCTCCCTTACAGGGCATTCCTTCAGCCAATGTCCTGCTTCACCACACTCGGTACACTTCCCCTCCTTCCTCCTTGTCTCCCTCAGATCGGAGCTCGGCCTAGGCCATCTTCGGCGAACTTCGTCGATGTTTGACGGTGTACTCTTTACCACCGTCGACATCATAGCCGCCTGGACACCACCCTGCGCCGAAGGTTGCCCCTTTTCCCATTTCTTCTCTTCTTTCTTCTCCGTCCTCTGACTTTCCACCACTGTCGTTGTCCTTATCCCTCCTTCCCTTTTCCTCTCTGCCTCCTTCTCCACTTGTCTCCTCCACAGGCGGTTGTCCAAGGGAATCACAAACTCCAATAGCTCTTTCACAGTCCCAAACGATCTACCGTGTCTTGCAATTTCATCTAGAAGGTGCGATTTTAGTCCTTTCTTGGCTCGGTCAACTAGGTTTCCATCATCAGACCACTTAAGAATCGCAACATGTCGCTGGAAGGCGGAGAAGTAGTCCGAAGCAGACCCGGTTTGCTTGAGGTCGTTAAGTTGTCGGGCCGCAGTTCCTTCTTCGTCTGGATCACCAAAGTTAGTCTTGAGGTACTTAACGAACTGATCGTGTGTCGTGAGGTACTCAGGAAGAGGTCTTTTGGATAGATCGGGCTGCACTGCAAGAAGAGGTGTTTCGCGTAGATGAGAGATCATGAAAAAGACTTTCTTAGTGTCGTCGGGGAAAAGATGAGAGTTCAATTCGAAATGTACGTCGCACTCAGACAGAAAGGCGGTTAACTTGTTCCGATCTCCTCTCCAGAGGTCTGGGTTAGGTAGCTTTATCCCCTTCCGTTGTTCGCCCACTACGCTTGGGGTCGCCGAAGTTTGCCGTCCCATGGCGTACCTCACTCCCTCTGATATCCCTTCTGCAATCCCGCCCACTGTATCCCTTTCTCTTCTCTGTTCCCATTCCTCCCTACGCCTTCTCTCCTCCATCATGTCTTTGTTCATATTCGCCACCATCTGCATCAAGGCCAACACCACCCCTTGTGTTCCTTCTTCTCCCAAGTTCGCCGTACTTCCAGTGTTTTCTCTTGGGCGTGGGGTTTGGTCTGATCCAAGTGGGGATCCCGCAGGTGGGAGAGCATTAGACGGAGGAGAAGGAGGGTTAGAAGGCACCGGTGGAACGAACTCATCTCCTTGAATTGATCCCCCCACACTATCCTCCACTCCAAGGTCCTGCCCCATTGCTCTGCTAAGCTCCTCCAATGCTCTCCTCTCGTTCTCCTCCATCCTGTCTCCATCCCTACTCATCCCTCGTGTAATTCTTCTTTCTGGTTCCATATTATCTTTGTACTTCTCCGAGGTTCGCACGGGTCGTCGGTAAGAGCGATCCTTGATACTGTCACGGCCGTCGAACAACTATTTCTTAATAGACCGACGGTCGACGAACCTCGGCTAACTTCACGCTCTGAGTCGATGTCTCACCCAACCAGGAGGGCGCAGACGTCGAAAGGGGTGTAACTACGGCGTACGTCGGCGTAGTTACTCTAACTAGGGTTTTGTTCTACTGATGGCGATGTATCTTGATTTATAGCTATCTCTATCTGTCTTTCACTACTGACAACAATCAAGGATCGCTGAAGAACTTCAGCGATCTTCTCAGCTAATATTATCTACTCCTCCTAGACGTTCATCCAACCCTCTCGCGCTTTGACGTACTTCAACGCACTTCGTCCAACTTCCCCGAGCCCTCGGCCATCCTCTTCCTCCTTCGACTAACTCCGCCTAACATCGCCGCACTTCTGCTCCCATTGTCCCTACTTAGCCTAACTCCGTCTAACTTCGCCGTACTTCTGCTCCCATTGTCCCTACTTAGACTAACTCCGTCTAACTTCGCCGTACTTCTGCTCCCATTGTTCCTACTTAGCCTAACTCCGTCTAACTTCGCCGTACTTGGTGTCAGAAGTCCTGAGTTACGTGTAGAGTAAAGAGGTTAAGGCGTGATGGGGTTTTGATGCCAAAGGAGGGTCATTGTTGGTGGAGTAATCGAGGTGTCGCGACGTAGTTCGTGACAATAACAGGCGTATTTCACCGCCCAATCCCAGTAGTTGTTGTTCAAATTGGCTGATGCCAACATAGCTCCAGTCATTTCTTTGAGAGTTCTATTGAACCTTTCCACAACTCCATTCAGCTCGGGAGTGTACCTAGGAGTAACTTGATGGATAATTCCCGTCTCGTGGTACCAAGCACCCGCTGGTCCACTGGCAAATTCCAATCCACCATCACTTCTAATAAACCGTACCTTCCCTCCCGTCTGTCTTTCCAACTTGTTGACAAAGCCTTTCAGGTGAACCAATACGTTCTGCTTGTTAGGCAGAGGTATTACAGATGCTATTCTTGAATAGTCATCAATCATCGCCAAATAATGTCGATTTCCACCAACGGATGGGTCAAAAGGACCGGCCAGATCGACATGAACCGTCTCTGCATCTGCCTTCCCCCTGGGACTTTCTTTCCCCTTGGGTAACCTTGTTGCCCTGCGAGCTTGACAAGCGTCGCATTCCTCCAGCCTGAACGTATCCTGTTCCATGTCACGGCCGTCGAGCAACTTCTTCCTTATAGACCGACGGTCGACGAACCTCGGCTAACTTCACGCTTCTGAGTCGATGTCTCACCCAACCAGGAGGGCGCAGACGTCGAAAGGAGTGTAACTACGGCGTACTTCGGCGTAGTTACTCTAACTAAGGCTTTGTTCTATTGATGGCGATGTATCTCGATGTATAGCTATCTCTATTTGTCTTTTACTACTGACAACAATCAAGGATCGCTGAAGAACTTCAGCGATCTTCTCAGCTAATATAACCTATCCCTCCTAGACGTTCATCCAACCCTCCCGCGCTTTGACGTACTTCAACGCACTTCGTCCAACTTCTCCGAACCCCGGCCACCCTCCTCCTCCTTCGACTAACTCCGTCTAATATCGCCGCACTTCTGCTCCCATTGTCCCTACCTAGCCTAACTCCGCCTAACTTCGCCGCACTTCTGCTCCCATTGTCCCTATCTACCCTAACTTCATCTAACTTCGCCGTACTTGGTCTCAGAGGTCCTGAGTTACGTGTAGAGTAAAGAGGTTTGAGTCGTGATGGGGTTTTGATGGTCAAAGGAGGGTCGTTGTTGGTGGAATAATCGAGGTGTCACGACGTAGTTCGTGACAGTCGCCCCCTTCTTTAGCCGCGAACGTCCTCGTGAGCGATTACACCCGTACTGTGGCAAGAAAACTTAGCAGCGCAGTACCTCCATCCTATCTTTCTCCAATTTTATCCCTCGTCCTTCTGCTCCCTGCGCCGTACTTCGTAGTTGAGCCTCCTTCCACTTTGAAAACCCGAGAGTGAGACTCCCCTAACTTCGTCGAGGTCTGCCGTAACATACCCTGCGTCTTTTGTAGGTGAGACACGCTTCCCGGATGGTAGCCGAACAACACCGTTGTTTGTCGAAGTAACCCTCGTTTATATTGAGATGAGACACTATAGCGTGGGAAATTTGATCGTCCCTTTGTTTGCCTTTTGTTGATGAAACGCGAAGCTTGCTGCATGTTGACGACGAGGGGGTAGGTCTGATTATACTAAATACTGAGAAGTTCGTTGAGCTTCTCTCTCTTCCCCATCTGTTTTCAAAACTTTCCATCTCTCTTACCTAGAAAACAGATTTGTTACCTTGACCAGCCGTCTCGTCTTTTATTTTCTTCTTAAGTATTTTAACGTCATGGCCCCCCCTACTCCCACCTCTAACCCTTTCGCCGCCATGAGGAACTTTGGTGGTATGGTGTCGTCTGCTCGTGAGTCTTTCCCCTGTACTTACCGCACTTCGCCGCACTTGGCTGACGTTCAGTTTCCTTCGGTGATAGGTCTCGCCAAGTTTCCTCTCTTGGCCTCGGCACTCTTTCCCTGGGGGAACCGTCTGGCGCCGCCTCGCCTCCTCGCTCTGCTTCTCCTCCCGCCAGTCCTCCTGCCGGTTCTCCCGCCCGTTCTCCCTCCGCTTCTCCTCCTCCTCCTGGTTCTCCTTCCGCTTCTCCTCCTGCTGTTTCTCCCTCCGCTTCTCCTCCTGCCGCCAGCCCTCGCCGCAGGACGCCCGCCTTTTGTCCTGGTGAGTCTCCGTCCTCCTCCGACCAGGAGTCGCTCAGTGGTTCGGAGTCGGACGATCAGTCAGACTTCGAAGGAAAAGGGGGTGATTATAGTGATGAGGAGGATCAGGATCGTGAGGGTGAAACTGAGTTAGAAGATCTCTCAGATGATGATATGGTGGCGGTTAGTGTAGAGGATAACAATGTTGATAGTCCTGAGTGTGAGTTCTTCGCCCAACCTCCTATACCTTCGCCGAACTTGGCCTTGTTTATCTGTTCTTTAGCTTCCTAAGACATTGCTGACTCGTAGTCGTTCGCGTTTCCCCCGCTCCCCAAATTGTGGGCCAGAAACGACCTCGTGCCCTTTCCTCCTCTTCCTCTTCCTCCTCTTCCTCTTCCTCCTCTTCCTCTTCCTCCTCTTCTTCTTCTCCTTCCGGGGTCCCCCCCCTCCCAACTCCGACGCTGCCGCTGCCGCTGTTGCCGCCGCCCGTCCTGTCGCCGCTCTCCGTCCCCCTGTCGTTCCCCGTCCCGCCGCCGTCGTCGCTGCTCCTGTCGCCGCCGCCGCTCCTGTCCCCGCCGCCGCCGCCGCTGCTGCTCCTGTCGCCGCCGCCGCCGCCGCTGCTGCTCCCCTCTCTTCTCCCCGAGGGGAGCCTTCGCCCAAACGGGCGAAGAGGTCATTGCGTGAAGAAGAGTATTTGTGGAATAAGTTGGAGTCTGAGCCTGGTCGTTGGGTTGCGGTTGGTGTCGATGAGGCGTGCGATCGTTGCAGGTGAGTTCCCCTATTCGTACTTCGCCTAAGTTCTCCTTGCTAATTAGTAGACGTGAGATCATCACGTATAATCGTCCGAACTGGCCCTGCCTCAAGGCAGTCCGGCCACACAACAAGGCCCTCCGTTGTGCTTCATGCACATCTGGTCCCTGCTCCTTCTGTCCCGTCTCCTCTGCTCGGGACATCCCGCCCCGTCCCTCCGACTCTTCGCCTTTCCCCCCTCCTCAGACTCCAGCGTCTGTCCCCCGTTCGCGGGTACCTCCTTCGTCTCTCCGGTCGGTTCGCCGTACTTCGCCGGACCTCCGCCCGTCGCCTCCGTCGCCGTCGCCCTTCGCTCCTGTGGCCGGCCCATCACGTCTCCCGGCTGTTCCTCCTTCGTCTTCCCGCCGTCCTTCGGCCTCTGCTCCTTCGGCCTCCCGTCCTTCGGCCTCTCGTCCTTCGGCGCCACGTCCGTCCTCTCCAGTGGTAGCTTCTCCTCCGGCTCACAGCACCCGAAGTCGGCGTCCTTCTGTTCCTCCGGCCGCTTCGGCGGCCCCTCCCGTCACCCCTCCCTCTGCTTCCCTTTAAAGAAATCAAAAGGGAAATCTAAAGAGAAGGAGGTTGCCTTCAATGATGGTGATGTGGAAAATGAAGATACTCAGCGTGCTGGTCCCTCTGCTCCCCGGTTGTCCCTCGTCCACCCTCGTATCTCCCTGGACGTCCGTATTCCTGAGGACGAAAAGGAATTCGCCACTTATCGTTCTCTCGTCCTCGGTCTCACTACTCAGCTCGAGGCCGCCCGAAATGATACATCTCTCCTGCTTGACTTCTCTTCTCGTCAAGCTAACGCTTTAAACAATCTCACTGCGGCGTTAGTAGATGTAGTCAACACTGAGGCTCTGGACGACGAAGCAAGGACAAGGTTAGCGGACGTCTCTCGCCGAAGCCTTACTGAGATAGCCGATGTTCGCCGAAGACTGTTCGACACCCCCTTCCTAGTCACTCCTATGGCGTATGAGCCACCACCGTCCCTTGACTGGTTAGGTCGCCGTAGTAGTTCTCGTGTCCCAGCTTCCGCCCAGACTGCTCTCGACCTCCTCAGTCTTCCCTTCGAGTGTCTACGGACCATACGTTCTCTGTGGAGGACTCCGAGCATGCAAGCTGCTCGAGATGTCCAGGACTTCGGTGACTTCTTTGGGGCTATGAATCGGGCATGGAATGCTTCTCTCTCTACTGCGTTCCCGTCTGAGACTCTCGATCTACCTTCGGTCATCGGTAGCCTCCATACCAATCCCGCGGGACCGAGTAGATCGAAGGAGAAAGGAAAAGGAAAAGGTAAGGGTAAGAGTAAGGACAAGTGAGCGGTACGTAGCTGTAATCCTATGTTGTATGCAGTACGTTCTATCTCCTAGCCCTTCGCAGTCGCCCTTCCTTCGGCTTAGTAGGGTGAAGTTCGTGGAACTTCGCCAATATGTCATCAGCTCCATCGACGTTCTCCACTGGTTCCCATGATACTGAATCGTCTGTTCCTTCGTAACCTAACCACTCCACCAAGTACTCTAACTTTCCTGACCTCTTATTTACTCTAGAGTCCACAATATCCTTTACCTCCCAAGACTCTCCCACATTGTCTACTTCTACTGGCCCAGGTGGCTCAGCTTGCTGACCAGGAAATATTGGAGGGTGATAAGGACGGAGCAAGGAGACATGGAATACATCATGGATACCTGCCATCGTTCCTGGTAATTCCAATTTACAAGCATGAGAACCTACCTGCCGTACTACCTTGTACGGCCCACTTTGCTTAACATCTAACTTCTTCATTGGTCTCTTCGTCTTAATATTCTCTAACGACAGCATCACTAGGTCTCCTTCCGCGAAGTTCGGCGTAGTCCGGTGTTTCCTATTGTATCCTTCGGCGTACTTCTCATTAGCTTTCTCAATTCCTTCGATACAATCTTTGTGTATTTCAGTCAAGTCTTTTACCACCACCGTAGCAGCGGGCACTTCGACTTCACTGGCCTTAATTTCTTCAGCCCATCGAGGGTGGTACCCATAGTTCGCATAAAATGGTGTCTTATTTATCGCAGAATGATGGGTGTTGTTGTAGGCAAAGCTAGCTCGAGCAAGCAGCTTCGACCAATCGTTCTGCTGATAAGAAGTGAAGATTCGAAGGTAGAGCTCTAAGGACTGGTTGGTTCGTTCAGTCTGTCCATCAGTCTGCGGATGATATGCAGTAGAGAGATGTAGTCTTATCCCGAGACTATCGGTCAAGTTCTTCCAAAATTTCGAGGTAAACTTCGATCCCCTGTCAGACACTATGTTCTCTGGTAGCCCATGCTGAGCTACCACATAGTCCATTATCAACTCGGATAGGCCAGCTGCGGTTAACTTCGTCGTAGTCGGGATAAAAATGGCCCATTTGGTCAACCGGTCCACCACTACTAAGATGGAATTGTATCCATGGGAATTCGGGAGCTCTTCAATGAAATCCATCGAAATGCTGGACCATGGCTTCGTAGCCACTTCCAGTGGTTTAAGCTCTCCATGGGGTCTCTGCCTGTTAGTCTTTGCCCTCTGACACACCGCACATCCAGCGATGTAATCTTCAACATCCTTCCTTACTCCAACCCAAACGTAGTCCCGTAGGACTAGCTCGAGAGTCTTCGCTGAGCCTGGGTGACCCGCTAGGACCGAGTCATGCCGCGTCTTCATTATCTTTAGTCGAGCATCGGCGTAGTTCGGCACATAAGTTCGACCATCGAACGTGAGGAACCCTCTTGAATTCCATCCCCCACGAAGTATTAAGGGGGACCGCGAGGTACGGCGTAGTTCGGTGACCGACCCTGGTTCCTGCACGTTATCATGACATGTTGGATGAGAGCACTTAGCACAGGTTACCCCCAATAATTCTTCTCTAACCTCCTCCACCTCTCCGTCTTCCTGTATTCCGACTATCAAATCCATAGGATCAAAAGGTCGTTCTCTCGCACTTCCTTTGTTCCTTGTAAGGCCCGAAGTAGGTGTTGTAACCCAGAGCTAGTGTCGTCAAGTTCGTCGAACTTCGGCAAACCTTGAATAAGATTGCTCTCCTGCATCATAGTACTTCCTTTTCCTGAGTGGTAGTCTGCTCTTCTCGACAGTCCGTCCGGCAGTGTAGCTTGTTTTCCCGGTCGATACACCATTTTGAACCTGAAGTTAGAGAGCTCTTCGACCCACCTACCCTGTCTAGGGCTAAGTTGTTTAGGTTCCATCCAATACGTCAAATTCAAGTGATCTGTGAGAACTGTAGTCTCTACCTGTAGCAGTAAGTGTCTCCTTCTTCTGAAAGCCTCAACGATAGCTAGTAACTCCTTTTCGCCTACCGTGTAGTTCAACTGCGCCGCCTGGAACGCTCCGGACTCGATAGCCACCGGATGTTCTTGCCCCAACTCGTTCACCTGCGAAATTATGAAACCCCAGCCGAAGAACGACGCATCTGTTTGTAGTAATGTCTTCAACGAGGGATCAAAGTGAGCCAATACTGGGGCCCTACACATCCTCTCCTTTAATTCCTTAAAAGCCCTTTCCTGTTCTACTCCCCAAACAAACGGTACATCCTTCCTGGTGAGATCATTGATTGGTTTAGCAATTCTGGAGAAGTTGGGGACAAAACGCCGATAATAACTGACAACTCCCATAAATCCTCTGCTCTCTCGCAAGTTCTTAGGACGAGGGAAAGACACGACAGCATCGATGTATTCCGGGTTACTGGAAATTCCCCTCTGTGAAACCACGAACCCCAGGAAGACTACCGAATCTCTCTCAAACTCGCACTTACTAGCTTTAACGAACAAATTCGACCTCTGAAGCACTTCAAACACCTTCGCCGTAGTTCCCCTCAGTTCTTCCAACGTTTGACCGTAGATGAGTATATCATCTATGTAGACTACTACTCCCTTTCCCAGCAGCTCTCGAAAACTTTCATTCAAGAAGTGCTGAAACACAGCGGGAGCATTCCGTAGGCCATCCCGGACAACAAGAGACTCGAACATACCGTACTGTGTCCTGAACGCTGTCAGGTGTTCATGACCTTCCTTTACTCGTAGGAGTTGATAAGCCCCAATTAGGTCTAACTTGCTGAAGTACCTCGCTCTTCCCAGCTCTTCGGTTATCTGGCCGATCAGAGGCAGAGGATAGGCGTCGGGTATCGTTGCCTCGTTTAACTTTCGGTAGTCAATGACCATTCGCCATTGACCTTTTGCCTTCTTCGGTACCAAGAACATCGGTGATCCGTAGGGCGAATTACTGGGTCGAATTCTTCCGGCCGACATTTCGCGATCTAGGATGTCTCTCAGCGCACTTCTCTGATCTTCTCCAAGCGAGTAGAGTGGAGCAACCTTCAGGTTCGCCCCCTCCTTAAGATCAAACTCCAAATCATAGCTCCTCGAGGGAGGTAATTCCTCACCTCCCTTCCTTGGGTTAAAGACATCAATGAACGAGTGGTATTGTTCGGGAACCACCTGATACAATTCCTCCTGTTCCTCCGGACTCAGTTCATCCTGATCATCTTTGTCTCGGAGATCTATCGCGTCCGTCGGAGTTGGCAGACCTATGGCCGCTAACTTCGCCGCACTTGGTGGGGTTGGGATGGGAAATTTCACCGAGTTGTCTCTTCCATCAAGGACAACCCCTTCCTTCCTCATCCAATCCCACCCTATCACAACATCTGCGTCGCAGAGCGTTGTTACATCGAGACAAACAGATCACACTTCGGCGTCCTTCGTCAAACTAACACCGACTTCGACAAACTCGGTGATGGGTCCAGCGACACTCACCGAGCCGTCGAACATGTGAACGGGTACGCTCACCTGATATCGCCTCTTTTCTACACCTATCTTCGCTGCTGCCCTAGGGCTTATATATGAACAAGTAGCTCCAGTGTCCCAGAGCGTAGTTAGCTTTATTCCATTAATGAAAATGTCCGATTTAGGTTGATCTCTGGAAACGGAAGGGATGAGGAGGTGATTATCGATATTGCATGAACAAGGGGTACTGAGTGGTGTATTTTTGTATTCACAATCCTCTGGCTCCATCAGCTGTGTTTCGTTTATGGGTTTGGGAATGGTGGCCGAGAGAATATGGCGGACCCGCCGAGCCTCGCCTACTGCGACAGGTCCTCTTCTTTTCCCTGGTCCTCTTCCAAATCTACTTCTCCTCCAACCGCATTCAAGTTCCTCCTTTGTCCGAGAGGTACTGCGTTCCCTCCCGATCCTCCACCACGTTCTCCGAACTTCTCCCCCCATGGAGGCAACAGTCCAACCTTAACCTTAGCCTCCCTTACAGGACATTCCTTCAGCCAATGTCCTGTTTCACCACACTCCGTACACTTCCCCTCTTTCCTCCTTGTCTCCCTCAGATCGGAGCTTGGCCTAGGCCATTTTCGGCGAACTTCGTCGATGTTCGGCGGCGCACTCCTTACCACCGTGGACGTCATGGCCGCTTGGACACCAACCTGCGCCGAAGGTTGTCCCTTTTCCCATTTCTTCTCTTCTTTCTTCTCCGTCCTCTGGCTTTCCACCACCGTAGTCGTCTTTGCCCCCCCTTCCCTCTTCCTCTCTGCCTCCTTCTCCACTTGCCTCCTCCACAGGCGGTTGTCCAAGGGAATCACAAACTCCAATAGCTCCTTCACCGTCCCAAACGATCTACCATGTCTCGCAATTTCATCCAGAAGATGTGATTTTAGACCTTTCTTAGCTCGATCGACTAAGTTTCCATCATCAGACCACTTGAGTATCGCCACATGTCGTTGAAAGGCAGAGAAGTAGTCCGAAGCAGAGCCGGTTTGTTTAAGGTCGTTGAGTCGTCGGGCTGCAGTTCCTTCTTCATCTGGGTCGCCGAAGTTAGTCTTGAGATACTTGACGAACTGGTTGTGCGCCGTGAGGTATTCTGGGAGAGGCCGTTTAGATAGATCGGGTTGAACGGCGAGGAGGGGAGTTTCGCGTAAGTGAGAGATCATGAAAAAGACTTTCTTAGTGTCGTCGGGGAAAAGATGAGAGTTTAATTCGAAGTGTACGTCGCACTCGGACAGAAAGGCCGTCAACTTATTCCGCTCTCCTCTCCAGAAGTCTGGATTAGGCAACTTGATACCCTTCCGTTGTTCCCCAACTACGCTTGGAGTCGCCGAAGTTTGCCGTCCCATGGCGTACCTCACCCCTTCAGATATCCCTTCTGCAATTCCCCCTACTGTCTCCCTTTCCCTCCTCTGCTCCCACTCCTCCCTGCGCCTACGTTCTTCCATCATATCCTTGTTCATGTTTGCCACCATCTGCATCAAGGCTAGCATCACCCCTTGTGTCCCTCCTTCTCCGAAGTTCGTCCCACTTCCAGCGTTTTCTGGCCGCGGAGTTTGATCCGATCCAACTGGGGATCCGATAGGCGGGGGAGCATCGCCCGCAGGGGTAGGAGGATTAGAAGGTATTGGTGGAATGGACTCATCTCCTTGAACTGACCCCCCTACACTATCTTCCATCCCAAGGTCCTGTCCCATTGCTCTTCTAAGCTCCTCCAACGCTCTCCTCTCATTTTCCTCCATCCTGTCGTCACTCCTACTCATGCCTCGTGTGACTCTCCTTTCTGGTTCCATATTATCTTCGTACTTCTCCGAGGTTCGCACGGGTCGTCGGTAACAGCGATCCTTGATACTGTCACGGCCGTCGAGCAACTTCTTCCTTATAGACCGACGGTCGACGAACCTCGGCTAACTTCACGCTTCTGAGTCGATGTCTCACCCAACCAGGAGGGCGCAGACGTCGAAAGGAGTGTAACTACGGCGTACTTCGGCGTAGTTACTCTAACTAAGGCTTTGTTCTATTGATGGCGATGTATCTCGATGTATAGCTATCTCTATTTGTCTTTTACTACTGACAACAATCAAGGATCGCTGAAGAACTTCAGCGATCTTCTCAGCTAATATAACCTATCCCTCCTAGACGTTCATCCAACCCTCCCGCGCTTTGACGTACTTCAACGCACTTCGTCCAACTTCTCCGAACCCCGGCCACCCTCCTCCTCCTTCGACTAACTCCGTCTAATATCGCCGCACTTCTGCTCCCATTGTCCCTACCTAGCCTAACTCCGCCTAACTTCGCCGCACTTCTGCTCCCATTGTCCCTATCTACCCTAACTTCATCTAACTTCGCCGTACTTGGTCTCAGAGGTCCTGAGTTACGTGTAGAGTAAAGAGGTTTGAGTCGTGATGGGGTTTTGATGGTCAAAGGAGGGTCGTTGTTGGTGGAATAATCGAGGTGTCACGACGTAGTTCGTGACATTCCAGCTGCTCCCTTGAATAACGTAGCAGTCCATCACCTGCTAGCTTCAGGAGTTTCTCACAACCAATATGTCCTAGTCGTTTATGTTCCTCTTCCAGAAGACTTGTTCTAGCTTCAATTTCATTTACTTGAGGTATTTCAAAGCCTTCTGGTGGAGATGGATTGTGGTGAACAATCCCCATCTGGACGAACAGGAAATTCCCCCTTCTCTCGCCCTTGATGACCAAGCCGTTTCTTGACAGAACCATGTCATGGAGGTCGACTTTCCACCCCTTATCTATCAGGGTATACGCTGAAAGATAGTTTCTTGTTGCTGAGGGTTGATAAAATACGTCTTGAAGTTTGATTCCCCTTCCATTGTTGAGACGTAAGACAATATCACCGGTATAGGAAGCAACCATTTTACCACCGTTAGGAACTGAGAAGTGAGCAGGTGAGGTAAGTTTCTTGAGATTAGTGAACAGATGAATGTAAGGGGAGACATGGTGGGTGCATCCGCTATCGACAAGGAATTCAGGAGTGGAAGAAGGTGTCGACGAATTGTCTTTGCCGATAGCTCCTATTTCAAAGTCTTCCAATCTTGCTTCCCCAGCGTGTCTTTCCCACTTCCCTTTACCCTTTACCTTTCCCTTGTCTTCATCCTCCTTCTTTGGACAATCTTTCTTCATATGTCCACCTTGCCCACAGTTCCAACACTTAGGTCCTTCCTTATCACCTTTAACCCTACTATCTTTACCACCCACACGTCCCTTCTTTCCCTTGAACCCAGGTTTTCCCTTCCCCTTTGCACCGTGCTCCAGGGAAACCTTCTGCATCGCTGCATTCACCTCTCCAACTATATCACCTTCACCCCTTGCTTCCCTTCGAGCAATCTCTCCCTGGTACATCTTCCTAACATTATCCCATGTATGAAGGTAGCCGGGTTGTTGTTGGAAGATACGAAGAGCAATGTCGAAGTCGGTAGCACAAGTGAGAGAATCAAGGAATAGTTGGACACGAGTGTTGTCTGAGAACTCACAACCGGCATGTTTGGCTTCGAAGAACAAGGAATTGAACGTGGTGAGATGTTTGACGAGATTGTCGACAGAGGAATTGGACGGGAGGAATAAGGTACGAAGCTTTCTTTCTATGGCTGAACGATGTTGAGGAGTACTTATCTTCATGTCGTTCTCCAGCCAATCCCACATCTCCTTCGCTGTAGATAGCTCTTGAATCTCCATCAAGAGTCCCCTATCCACCCTAGCTTGGATGACGCCTTGGGCCCTAAGCTCCCTCTTTCTCCATTCATCCCACCTCTTCATCTCGTCTGTCCCCAATGTCCTGGGACCGTCCATCTCATCCTCCCTGGGCGGCATAGACCCCGCCCTCATGTACCTTGCGACCGAGAAAGCACGATATGGTTCAAGGTCGGTACCTTCGATGATGCCAATGCAGCCGACGATAGTAAGGTGAAGTCGGGCTTGTGTACTCCACGCATAGTAGCCGTGGGCACTGGAAAGAATGGGAATGGTATCGAGTGTGGTTCCCGTGTATTCGCTCATTTTGATGTACGTGAGCTTCGTCTTCTAGATCAAAAATAGACTCTCAAGAAAGACTTATCGTGCGCTAGGCGAGTACCACAGCGTAGTAACCCGCCACCAGGTTGGACTGGATTTCCTTCTACCGGCAAGCCCGTAGGTATGCGTCTCAAAGACGTCTCCGTTGCAGTAAACTGACAACTGTCCTTCGCTCCCTAATATCCAACCAAGCACTTTCCCGTCTCCTAATCTATTCTCCTCCGTCTAGATTCCCGTACCAGTACTAACCCAGTACTGTACTCTCTCTTAATATCCCCTCCTATCGATAAACACAATAGTTGATAATCGATGTCAATAGTCGATAGTCGATAAACAGGTACGCGTGATCCCCCCTCGGCCCACCACCTATCACTGCTTCACCAGAACAGCGCGGGGTACCGTTTGGGTGCCCTGACTCTCACCAGTTCCACAGTGATAGAGGTTGACTCCTAATACAAGCAACAGTGGTAGAGTCCGACTGTTAATCTGTTGGTTGGTGAGACGAGAGAGGATGCATAAAAGAGAGAGAGATCCGTGGGTTTGATCTCACGGCGGAGTTTCTCGGGATTCTACATACGACTCGTGGTGGCGGTACGATCAACAACTTCTCGAGCGCCGTAAGCCACCCAACCATCACCCAACACTCAGTCTCACTGCCACCAGCCACCATGTCGATCGCCGTACCCCCCCTCATCGCCGGCTCAGACAACATAGAGTCGCTCCGTCCATACTACGGCGTGGGCGTACCCATCCCTGTCCCGCCCATCATCCTGAAAGAAATGTACGCTTTCCTTCCTCAGGCATGTGACCTGCGCGAGTTTTCCCCTGATCTCGCCTCTGAACTCGCCGTCTTTCTCACCCGTCTCATCGATCAAAAAGGTCAGTCTCTCGTCCTCATCCTGTCTCTATCCTCTCACTGCGCGGGGGAGAGCGTCAAAGCGTAAAGTGTGAGCCAAACTGATTCTTATCAGGTATCGACCAAGGTGGTCGTCCGGCAGGTTTCATGCCTCTTCAAGATCTCCGAGCGCTGATCGTTTCGGCCGTCGAGGACGGTAACGCCAACTTAAGATTGTCCATCGCCGAACTCGCCGCATCGGGCAGGAGACTCGAAACCACCTTTGCTGAATTCGACGCCCGTCTCGGCACAGTCAAAACTGACGTCAACGATGTCAAGAAAGAGATAAAGGCTATGAGTAAAGAATTGAAAGCGGTCAAAGCGGAACAGGCCATTTTGAAGAAAGGTCAGGAGACTTTGAGGAAAGGTCAGGAGACGTTGAGAAAAGGTCAAGAGACTTTGGAGGGAAAAGTCGATGGCTTGAAAGACGAGTGTCATACCGAGTTCAAATTGAGGAAACAAGAAAGAGCAAAGGTGGGTTTTGTTTTGTTTTTGGTGGTGTTTAAATCTTTTTCTTCTTCTACTTTTTCTGGGCGTGTGTAGATCAACCTTTGTCTTTTGCTTTGACAAACCCCTCTACACGACTTGATAATTTGACATGAACGCTATCGAAAGAGTTTATATACTTTAGGACATTCAAAACGTTCAAAGAATGAACCAGGCTGTTTCTTCTCTATCTTATCTTTTTTTGCCGCTTTTGTTTTTGAACTCGGGGATAACCTCTTTGTTTCATAAGATCGGATGTGGTTTGTTTGTAGGATAATGAATTTGACACGCTAACGATTCATAGGAATTAAATCGAAGACGTCATATCCTACGCAAACAACTCTTTCATGTTCCTTCTTGTCATACTGACGCTGAGCATCCCCCTCGCGTTCATGTGAGTGCTAGAGTTCTTCTTTCTTTTCTCCGATTCCTTTTCCGTCTTGGTGATATCGTCGTCTTTGTTGCCGGTTGAAAATCGAGTTGAGATGGGTTCATGTATCTGAACCCAGCTGGGTTTCCTTTTTCTCCTTGGTCTTTTTTCCATTCCTTCACCGTTGAGATGGAGATGTAGATGACGATGGGGATGGAGACGTAAATGGCGATGTTCATGTAGCTGGGGATGGAGATGTAAATGGCGATGTAAATGGAGACGCGGACGTGGACGAAGGGGATAAACAACTGACCCTAGACTCGTCTCACATCCATCGACGACATCTCCACCCTGTCCGAAGCAGACCTAGACGCTTGGACAGAATACTACGGACGGATCGGTGAATGGAGGTTGGACGATTCGGAGGGTAAAAAGATCTGGTTGAGAGATTTTTTGATTGGCAATGCGTGAGAAGAACATGTTCTTTATCGTTTTTTTTTTCCCCTACATTTCATCAGAGAACAAGATGATGTCTTTATTGTCTCTTACATCTCATTCGTACATACATTATGAAAATGACATCTCATCGACAAGTGTCATCTTGTCGTTTTTACCTCTCTCGGTACATACATTATATGATATTTTGTCATCTTGTCGACTTTGATCTCTCTCTCTCTCTCTCTGTACATTCGTGTAAGATTTTATCTCGTCGACTTGACGTTATCTCGGTACATCTTGAAGATGTCATCTTCCTTAACGTTTTCACCTCTTGAAAATGTCAACTGACCGCATCATTCATATTTATGGATCATGTGATCATGTTTCTCACTTCATAAACAGACAAGATATCAGCCCGCCTCATTATGTGTATACGGATGCTCCTAGGACAGAGGACAGACTCGGTTATCACGTCTAAAGATCGTAGAGCGTAGAGATAACTATAGATGTAAGTAAAGTACTCGTACTATACTATTGCCGATATTTTTGTCGGTATACTGTATCGATCGATGATTCTACTTCTACTGCGCTGCTACTCTTTCTGTGTCCCGAGTACGAATTTGATGACCTTATGCTTCATGTCCAAGGATTATCGGTTACATGAGCAGATTCCTTCAATCCCACCGAACTGTCAGGATCTAAGTAACGGGCCCTAAACCCCACATAAAAGGTAGATATCGAACCCAGGAGCAGGAGCGCTGGATACAATCCCGTTATAAACACCTGGGGCCATAATCCTGACACGAAAATTCGGACGCTATGGGAATTGTACTTGACAGTAATTTGGACGATATTCTGGGCTTGATTCCCCGGATCGGACATGAATTTGTATGCGATTTGGGAGTTGTGAGATGTGAGTTGTGATTGGTGGACAACATGAAACAAAAACAATCTCGATCTGTTACTTTTGTCTGTGTTTCTTTATAATCTTGTTTTAGCACATGACATGAATGATTTATCTTCTCACATGACATGGATCATTTTATCAACGCTTGTCTTGAATGAGAGGATCGTACGGGAAACGAGGAAGAAGAAAGAAAGTACAGAATGAGAGGAAGTGTACGGGAACGGAAAAAAATGAGAAAGAACAGAATGAGAAGAATGTACGGGAAAGAAGGAAGAAGAAAGAACAGAATGAGAAGAATATACGGACAAGAAGGGAAGGAATGAGAAAAGAAAAAAGGGAAATAAACAACATGATAATGATATGATTTCAAAATAAACCATCCACTCGGAAACGAGGACCAACACCGGTAATGAAATGAGATGAAAGAGTAATTAATACATCTAAATTCTCATTTCCCCTCTCCCTCCATCCCTTTTGTCAGTCACTAGTTAATCCAATCACCCATACCCAGTTCCGTGACAGCCTAGTTTCATACCGTTATCGGCGGTCAATGTGTCAAGACCGGTAGTTGTACCGGGATCAGCTCTCACTAGCCGAATTGATATTGAGCCTTTTAGGACGGTTTATGAACCCGGTCATGACACAGTGGGATCATAAAGAATACACTTACAGTGACAATTCACCATACCTGGCATTCCAACGGACAAGAGTGTTTGATATGAGCAAAACGATATGGAAAAACATAGATACGAGCTTGAGGTTTGGTTCGCTTTGGTCTGGGTGGGTAAACGTGTCGGTTTGAGATGTCAACTGGTATATATCTTCATACTGTCTTGTTGAGTTGTGAGTCTTCATACTGTCTTGTCGAGTCGTGAGAAGGAAAAGTTGAGCATTGCACTTGTACAAGAATGTGTCAGAGTCAGAGTCAGAGTCAGAGAGGGACTTGATAGATACTTGGTATGTCGAATGGAACTCCGGGGGGTAGGGGGGTCAGTACGTCGAATGGATAACCCTAACTAGGAGGGGAATTAGTACATCGAATCCGAATGGATAACTCGGGAAGGGAAGGGGGGGTGGAAGAGTTACAAACACGATGAGGCGCCAGCCAAAAAGAACGAGCGAGTCTAACCATGTAGTTAGTACATCTCACTTTGGACCATGGAGACAACGAGTCAGGTTGGGTAGATAGACATATATTGAAAAAGTTTGACGCGCACGATACAGTATGGTTACGCAAGGGTTTTACCAATTCTCACCAGAAGAAGAGTTTATATGGAGTCTTTTGAATAATAAGCAAAGGACAATTATGATTCCCCAACCCCTGACGCCTTTACACCTCTCTGGGTAAATAAATTTCCCCGTGCGATCATGGAATATGTAGCCGGATACCCGTACCATATTGTTCCTCTAACACTTACCCCTTACCCCTGAATCCTCTGGAGGACTCAGTTGTGGATATAAGGAGTAGTTTTCTATCATATGCATCTTCTTCTTCTGCTTTTGCCTCTCTACATTGTAGACAGCAAGTTATTGAGTTATCGGTACTGACCACCGGTTACTCATCGTTCTCCACATCTCCACCAGTTGTAAGACGCGTGCCGGATGAGAATAGCACACGACTCCAAATGCAGAATGTAGAAAGGTAAAAGAAGGAAAGAATATGCATATCACATACAACCACTCCTTATATCCACAACTGAGTCCTCCAGAGGATTCAGGGGTAAGGGGTAAGTGTCAGAGGAACAATACAGTATGGTACGGGTACGCGGCTACACATGTGGTATGAGTGTGTCAGGATCACGGGTACCTATAGACGGGTTCCTCAAGAGTCGTACGCAGTAGTCGTACTCCACCTACCCGTTCCCGTCGCCGTCTCACTAATCCCGCTACGGCGTCCTCCGTTCTCCTGTCCTACCTAATCGTTACTTCTTTACCATGCTATACTTTTTCTTCATCTCCGTGTCCCTCATCTATCTCCGTCTTCCTTCGCTCTTACACCCCATATCGCTTTTCACATCTACTCCGTAGATTCGGTATCACTCCGCTCCCTTTTTAGTATATAGAAACACCCCTTTTTCGTAGATGTCTTGTCGAATGTATTTTCTCGTCACTTAGCAAATCTTTTGCCACTTGATCTCATCGACTTATAGTCTCTTCGATCCACTACATCACTTGACTATAAACTACATCACTAGGTCTGTTCCCTACGAGGCCCTATAGCCATAGCTCATAGACGCAGACTATTTTCAACGTCTGGTCCTGACAGTGGAGAGGCCTGGTGGCCGGGATAGATAGACAAGAGAAAACAAAATGTATATCAAGTCAAGAGTGAAGATAAAATACCAAATGTATGGGGTCGGAGATGGTCAATGAACCTGGGGGAAATGTTCAGACTTAATATTGACAGAACAGGGATGTTTCAACTAACTAGGGCGAAAAGAACAGAGAAATGAAAGGAATGGAATGGAACGCCAAGCAAAAAATTCAAAGTTTCAAAACTCACTCGAATGAATGCATCTCCAATACGTATCAGGTTGAGTGAGGGAAATGACCTGATTTTGGTCACTCTTGAAATCATTTTTTTTAAGCTAAATGACTTGATTTTGGTAGCTCTTGAAATCATTTTTTTCACTTTGACTTGTATTAAGAAGACATAGAGATCTTGTCCAATGAGTGGATCATATTTCAATTTCAGATTCGGTATGATAATTGCTCTGGGCATATCCAGTGTCGTCTATCTTCTATGTAGATTTGGCATGAGAGAGATGAGAGCGCAAGGTGATGTCAGGATCACGGGTACCTGGTTAGGGGAGTGTATAGTAGCCGTACTTCTACTCTGTGGATCAAGCATAATGATACTCCGTGGATCAAGCAAGTGTAGAAAGCCACAATGTCCGGTGTAATCACTATAGGTGCAGTGGCGAACAGTAAATTTTCATGGTGGTGAGGGCGGGACTCAAATGGTGATTGATGTCTGTGCAGGCGTGTACTATGGCTGTCAATATGCAGATGGGCTGCGATAAGTTCGATTTCAGAGGGAAGCAACCAATGTTGCTCAGAGGCGAGATCCCGTGGTGAGGAATTGTGGGTTAGTACAAGATTAGTGCAGCAATCAGCAATCACCGATGGCGAGACTCGCCAGACGTCCGAGATGTGTGTGTCTGTCTGTAATTGGCAGGTTCGATTCGAGCCCTCTCCACCGGTTGTAGCGATCAGCACCGAAAACGTCTCCAATGTAGAAAGTAAAGTCGATTGAAGAGAAAGAGTATGCATTCTATTCATTCTATCCTACCTATTTATCTATCTAATAACCTATCCTGCTAATTGTATCTACCTATTTATCTATCTACTATCCTGCTAATTCTATCTACTATCCTGCTAATTCTATCTACCTATTTATCTATCTAAAAACCTATCCTGCTGAATCATCTGCTTAGCAATGAGTGAATAAGCAGATGAGTCAGCTTACGAGCCGTGTACGGTATCACAATTTGTTCCTGTCATGACCGGGTAGCGAGCCCACGATCATAAACCGTCCTAAAAGGCTCAATATCAACTCTGCTAGTGAGAGTTGATCTCGCTATAAGTACTGGTCGTGACAGTTCCGGAACATGTGGTGGACGGGAAGGGAATTCTGGACGGGAAGGGAACCATGGGTCGCTCACAAGTTTGCCGTCTGCGAATTTGTCATCAAGACCTATAGAGAATCACAAGTTTGCCGTCTGTGAGTTTGTCAGCAAGACCGATAGAGCTAGATCAAGGGGGGAGATGCGATGGGCACTGAAGGGAGAGAGGGAAGAAGACAAAAAAACAAGATACTCGAAGTGGAGAGAGAGGCGTGACGTTCAGACACTCACTCACTTGGGGTTGTGACCTGTACTTGTTCGATGACCATGCCTAATCTACCTTGAACTGTTCCTTTCTCCACCACGACTATCATTTTTCCATGACAATTTCGAAAGAGTGATAACACTTGAGGGCAGGTCATGTAAGTCTTGAACAAAGTACCGTCCGCCGTGACGGTGAGACTTGCTTCATTCTTAACAAACAGTCGTCATATCCACGGCGAGTCGAGTTTGATCGGAGGGACAGAATCATGACCTGGTTTGTATTTGAAAGCGGCAAGAGAAGATCTCAGGAACGATTCGTCGACTAGGGCAGGACTGAGGGATATCAACAGAGGGTAAGAAAGACGAGATGAAGACGCCCAACTCGAAGCGAAGGACTGACACCATGTGAGGTCAGGCAGCAAAGATTGATGTGGTGTGGTGACCATGAACCTGAAGAGTTTCAAGAGGATCTGATGGACCTGATCGGAAACTAAAATCCAAAATCCGTCCCTTCCCTCCTCTTCGTGATAAATGTCCACACGCGAATGGGACAGGTAAGAAGTTGGAATCCGTGGTGAGGCAAGTCGAGCTTTGCTTGCTGCTTCGGGCGGCGGCGGTGGTGATAATGAGAGAGGGAGAGATGACTTCGAATGGCGATAAAAAAAAGTGAAAGAGTGGTTAGGTAACTTGAGGGATGAACGAGTCGAGGCGAGGGAGAGAAATTATGGTAGCTGGGAAGGGGGGAGTGGTGACAGATGATGATGTTGTCCACGGTCCCGTCCGTCGTTATGTCATAATCGATAACGAGAAATACGGAAAATACCTGATAAAAGGGGGGGAGGAACTGATCCGTTCATATGAATTCCAAGGCGAGGCCACCGAGGTCTGGCAATAAAGCGGATATGGTTTGATTCGGAGAGATCGCAGTAGTTGAAGCGAACATGGTGGGGTCGGCAGAGACAGTATTTTCAGACACGCCCTCTTTCCCAGTGAAAGGAGAGAGGAGTTCGTGATTCGGCAAGGGGCGGTGGGGGGAAGCGATAGGTGACCTCGTTAGTGTCCTCGGTGCACCACGAGGAAAAGAGGGGGAAGGTTGTTGGGAAATCGGAAAGAGCGTTTGATGATGAGGAGACGTCGGTGAAGCCAGACCCAAACCCAAAGCGGAAAAATTTGGTGACGGGGGAGTTGTTGGATGGAAAGATAGAGACCTTGAGGGATGATGTCTACGAAGACGTTCTATCGAGGGAGGTGGTGATGTTGAGCTATGAGTCAATCTTCTTTTTCCTCTCGATCTCCGGACTCTGTCATCCTCCACCACCACCTCCCCCGCCGCCTCCTCCTCCTCCTCCTCCATGGAGCCATCGGTAGAACAGATTCATCCAACAACTCCCCCGTCTGGAGGTGACGACCACGCATTTGGGTCTGGCTTCACCGACGTCTCCCTCATCATCAAACGCTCCCCAAGTCACTCGGTCGTTTCCGCCTTCTTTTCCTCGTGGTGCACCGAGGACACTAACGAGGTCACCTATCGCTTCCCCCCAC